TATAGTTCCAGCTATACAAAAGAAAAAGAAAATGTACAGATATGGAACATTCTCCATCATATATTATGAAATGAAAATAACAAGGTGCATAACTCTAAAAGGTGTGTTATCTTTTTGTAAGAAAAGGGGAAAAATTCTAAATGAAAATTTATACAGTAGTAGTGAAAATATACACAAGAAATTAATATGGGATTTCCCTAATAGGGTGGACAAAGAAAAAGACAGGAGCAAGACTCAGAGGGATACATTTGATACCTTCTTGATTTTTAAACCAAACAAATGTATTACCTACCCCAAATTTTCAATTAAATTCAAAAGTAATTTACCCACAAGAAGTTGAACTTATGCCTTCAACTCTTCTCTGCCTTGGCATCCTTCAAGGACCATATCATACAGCACTTCCTTTACGTTGCCCCTTTATGTTGCCCCAACTTGTTGCTTGTCACACTAGTACACCACTTCTCACAGTGAGTTGGGTATTTGTCTTCCCAGGAAGCTGATCTTCAGAGGAAGAATGATTCATCTTTTTATCACCAGCTCCTCTCACAATGTCAGGACTTAGGCCCCTCAATATATTTTTTTAAAAATATACCTCAAGTGCACTGAATCAAATCAATCCTAATCCTCAGATCATGGAACACTGTCATTATTCTACAATAATGCACGGCTCTTTTTAAAAATTTATTTTTAATAATAAAGTGAACATCCATGGACCCACACCAAACTGAGAAATAGAACACTGACACCAAATGTTTATATAGATGCCTCTTCCCTAACCCTTCTTTTGCCTTCCTGAATCTAGACATAGACCTTACAACCTTCACAAAAATTAACTCAAAAATGGATCATAGACAATACACTTGTCACCATCTTGTATGAAGGCTAGCCACATCAATTTTCCTGTCCTCCGTCATCATGTAGCCCACAAAAGTCTAGACAGTCCTGACATCCCAGAACATCATACTGGGCTACAACATGCTTATGGATCTGATAAACAGGTAGCAAGTATGGTAGATGCTTTCATAATAAGACATGCAAGCCACAGCACAGGATATAAGCCCCCACCAAAATGAAGGGGCCTGCCACCTCAGTGGCTTCTGGAGGTCCATCCCTTGCAAAGTGAAAAGAGATGTTGCTATCCTTCGCACTTAAATAACCGAAAAACAAAACCCACAATGTTTGATAAGCCCTTATGAATTCCAGAGGCCATATGATGTACTACGCTGGCCCCCTGAACGATTAACCTGTAAGGCTGTCAGTTTTCACTAGGGAACACAGAAAATGTTCTGCAGCAAGTTCAGGCTGTAGTACAAAAACAGCGCAAGATCCCAGCAAATCAGATGATACTTAAAGAGACTACAGCTAATAAATATGTTGCATGAAGTCTCTGGTAAGCCTCAATAAGAGAATCAGAGGGCATACCTCCAGTGTTTTATAGCAAAGCTATGCTCTGCTAGAGCCAGAATGCCTGACCATGGGTAATCAAGTAACCAGGTGACCCAAATTGCCTTAAAATTAACCGGGTTTTATCTGACCCATCCAACCACAAAGTGTGGCACAAAAAGCAGCATTCATCACTAAGAGGAAATATTATAGAAATAAGCAGGCTGAAGCAGATCTGGAAGATAAAAGCTGCATAAGCAGGTAGCTCAGACTCCTTTAATATGAAATACTGTACGCAGTATGTGATACTGCTTCTCCTCACTCAATCCACACCTATGGCCTCAGGTGCGGCTGCTTATAACCAGTTAACTGAGGAGAAAAAGATTTAGGCCCGGTTTCCAGGTGTTTCTACAGTATGCTAGCACAAGCCAGAAGGTGACTGCTGTAATATTACAAGTCCAATCAGGACAGAATGAAAAAGGGAAAATTTCCCCAAGGATGGGGGTGGGAAGGGGCATAGAATTTTAACAATATATACAGTTGTCTCCTTCACTTAGAGAGGGCCAAAACTAGGATCCATTCAAGGACAGTGGTTAAAGGCTTGACTAGATGGTTAAAGGCTTCAAGAGAACATAATAGGATATATGACAAAGTCTAGGGAAGCAGCAATGTGAATGAACTCCTAATATTATACAGAGTGTCCCATGTGAACACTCACAAAAGGCATCTACTTGTAGAAGAGAATCTCAACGATGAGATGGACAAGAGAATACATTCTGGAAACAAGTCTCTTTCCCTGGCAAACCCAGTGCTTACTTTCGTGTAAAAATGGCCATATGGCAAGAAAGAAAGCTTTGTATGAGCTCAGCAACATGGACTTCTCACCAAAGCTGTTTTGGGTACCTCCAATGTGTAAGGCTTAACCTCTCAACCACAAAGTCAAAGTTGAGTCCAAATATGGACTAGCCAACTACTCAGTAGCAGGTGTATTACATCAGACTGACAGTTCATGAAGGAGGAGACACTCATATTCTTAGAATGGCATTATGGAATACCTGTTTACCATTATTGCATTCCACACATTTTCTGTTCAAGAGACTCATTTCACAGCAAAATAGGTCCAGCAAATGGGCTTATGCCCATGACTTTCACAATATCATCATATACCTCTCAGACAAAGAGAAAAAGAACACTCTGCAATGCATTTTATGAAGCCAGCATAATAATCTGAATACCAAAACATGACATTAAGAAAGAAAAATTTTAGATCTCACTCCGTCCACCCAAACAGAAAATCCTCAACAAAACATTAGCAAACCAAACCTAATATTATATAAAGAGGATCTAATATATCACATTAAAGTTAGGCTTATTCTGAGATTACAAGGTCTGTTTAATACTTAAAAACATAATTAACATTTACAAAATAAAGTAATATTTTAATAGAAATAAACAAATTTTTAAAAAGAATTTTTTTTTAAAAGAATCTTTTAGGAATGGCTTAATCTGTAGAGTACCCATTTTTTTTTTCAATTCACAGGAAGCCTCATATTGATAAATTATACTTTTCCACTATGAGACCAGGAATAAGACAAGAACGTTCATTCACTATTATCAATTCTAAATATAACTGTATTAGAGTTCTTAGCCAAAAATATGTAAAAGAGCCTGGGTGGCTCAATGGGTTAGAGCCTTTGCCTTCCGCTCAGGTCATGATCTCAGGGTCCTGAGATCACCTGCATCAGGCTCTCTGCACAGCAGGGAGCCTGCTTCTCCCCTGCCCTCTGCCTGCCTCTTTGCCTACTTGTGATCTCTGTCTGTCAAATAAATAAATAAAAATCTTTAAAAAAAAAATGTAGAAGAAAAAAAGGTTTAAAGATTATAAAGGAAAAAATAATCCTGATTTCGTACAGAAAATTCAAAAGAATCTACAAATTTTTAACACATATATGATAGTTCAGCAAGTCTCTAGTCAAGTATATTTCTGTATACCAAAAAGAAAATGAAATCATTTACTATAGGATCAGATACTAGCAAACACTAAGAAAACTCTAATGAAAAATATGCAAGACATACACACACACACACACACACACACATTATTTAAATAAATTTCAATAAATGGTGGGATATACCATGCTCAGGGATTAGAAAATTCAACATTGTAAAGATGTCAGTTCTTCCCAAATTAATTGACTCATAGCTTCTATGGAACTTGATAAACTGATTCTAACACATATGTAGAAATGTGAGGAGCCGAATATATCCATTACAATGATGAGGAAAGAAAGTGATAGAGTTTGTCTACTGACTATCAAAACTTACTCCAAAGTTAGGAAGGTATTAAAGTTTAAAAATGTTAAACTTTAAAAATCAAAGTATGGCACTGAAAAAAGTAGTAGTTCCATAAAGTCCCATAAAGTGAATACTTGTATATACTGCCTTTTTTTTCTTTCTTGTCCTAGTCACACTTCACCAAGGTATCTAACCACTCTTACTGCTTAGCTCTTGTACTATCTCCTGGGCTTCTTTTTTGCTATTTTCTCCAAAAATGTTTACAATGTGGACTTCTGAATGGCAAATCTTAATGTTTTTATTAAGGCTCTCACATTTGAATAACAACTTAAATAGATGTAAAACTTTAGGTCCAATACTTTAGAAGGTTTTCTTACAGCCAATTTTGCTCTTGAAAAGCCTGAGGTCAATCTGATTCTTGTTCTTTATACAAGAAAAAAAAATTTTTTATGAGACAACTTTTTAGATTTTTCTCATTATCTGTAATACTCTTAAATTTCAGTATGTGTCTAGACGTGGGTACTTTCCTCTTCTTTGATACTTTATGGCCCTTTCAATCTTCCAATTTTTTTCTTATCCTGGACCCCTTTTATTACTTGAATGTTGGCCCATCAACTTCTGTCCTTCATGTCACTTAAATCTGTATCCATGTTTGCTTTTTTCTTCTTCTTCCTTTTTTTTTTTTTATTGTTTTGTTTTGTTTTGTTTTGCTTCTTTCTGGGAGGGTCTCTCAATTTTCCAACTCACTAATTTATTCTTCAGCTGTATTCATTCTTTTTTTATTCCATTTACGTTATTTTAAATACTATGGTTTTTATGTTTCTACTTGGGTCATTATTTCTTATTCTTGTATCACATTGCTATAGTCTTCCCTTTATTTCTTTTAATGTTTATGGGCTTAATTTTAGAGCCTAATGGTCTTATGTAATGGGAGTTTTCTCTTGAACCAGTGCCACCTCTTAACCACTTTACTTTGGCCTATGAACTCACTTACCTAGTAGTGCAGGCTCTTCTGAGTGATAGTATGCTCTGGGGAAAGGCTGAGGGCCAGCCCTCTGGGCTATGTTGGGGGTTCAAAGAGAGGGAGGAAGATAAACCCCTACGGTGGATAGTCCCAGCACTACAAAAACCACTGTAAATTATTTCAGTTTGTTATCTACCAAGTAACCCTTCAGATCAGAGCTCCCTCTCAGACACCAGGAGAGAAAGGGCAATTTTCTAAGGCACTTCCTAAAGTCTAGGGCCGACAGTGCAACCCACCAGTCCTATGAGTCTGGAGGGGGAAGAGTGAACAAATAATGCACAAGCTAGTCAATCCTTACCTGTTTTCCCCAAATCTTCACCCAAAAGGGCTTTTTGCTGCCAGATTTTATCTGTGAAGAAGACACCTGCAGGAGAGGTCTGGTTCACTGTACTAGTACCTGCTGTGAGAAAGCAGGCAAAGGCAACTGGTTTTCTCTAATGAATCTACTCACAGACATTCAGCCAGCCACACCCCCACCAAGAACCACTTCGAAACAGTTCCCATGTCTCCTGGGAGTTCTACTTTTTTTTTTTTTCTTTTAATCATTATCTAAACATACTAAAAGAAACATTCTAATCAAAGTTTAACAGAATTTACATGGCTTTATTTATACATTACTGGTATTGAAAGCAAACTTTATACAAAGTTTTATACATGTTAAAAAAAAACCCTTGGCTAGGCAAAGCCATGATTGTGTGTGTACACATACAAACACACATACACACACACAAAGTATTTTACATCATTGTAATTATACATATTTACATATACACTATTTAAATTATTTTACAATTTATCAAAATGAGAGGCAATTAGAAAAGCAAATAAAAAATGGATGAAAACAAACTAAATAATTGTTTAAAATGCTACAAAATTATTGTGAAAAATCTAGAAAAGAAAGCCGTTTTTCTGAAATATCAAAACTAAAGTTTCAATGCCATTTCGTTGTTGCTTTTATCTTAATAACAAGTTCTGTTTAAAAATAAATATCTTGACCAGTAACAAGTGAGCAAATCAGACTGATGACTGGAACAAGCTAAACATGCTGACTTGAGATTCAAGAGTCAGCGAGTAATAGTAAATGTAGACTTTTATCTAGTAATCAAATACGCCATAAAACTGCCCTCTACTTCCCCATTTAAAACATGAGGAATTCCAAGCTTCTGTGTAGTATACAATATCAACTAAGACTCAAGGAGTTCAGCAATTTATCTGTAAGAAAATGCTGACATTATGATTCTATTTTTCTGATAGGACCCTTTCATAAGGTGTTGTTCTTTAAATGAGTTCACTCAGATATCAGCATTAAAAACTTGCTTTTTACAGAATTAGTTTGGTAAGTTTATTGCTATATTCTGATTTTGACAAGAATTTACTGAGACCATAGTACTTAGGATCGAAAAAAATTGTTAAGAGACAGCTAGAAATAAAATAACCTACAGTTTTTGCTATCATGCAAGCAAATAAAATTTCAAATATCAAAGCCATTAAGATTTTAGATTTGTATTGGAACTAAGAAGCATAACTTCCAGGAACAAGTTAATTCTTTCATGAATGTGTATTATCTCCACAAGAGAATGGAAGTCACATTTTAAGAAAATATTCAGGTAAAATAAAACCTCAGCTGAAGTTCTTAAAGGCAGTGAAAATTTTAAAGCACAGTAAATCTGAAAAAGAATCAGGCCATTTCGGAAAGTTCTTAATAAGCTTTTTCCATTTAAATACTCCATTACTCAATCTTACATTCCGGAATTATGTAAATAGGATTTTAACATCACAGTAAACTGCTAAATATCTTCTTAAAATCTCATTAGCAAATAAATTGCTTAGAGAGGATACTGAAATTAACAGATTATCTCAAGATAGTACCTTACACTGGGTCCAGAAATAGATTTAAAACTCAAAATTATTCAGGACGCTTCATATTAAGACCTACATCCAAATACAGTTTCTATTCAGATTTAATTTGAACTGAATTTGAAATTAATTTGAAATTCAGTGTTCTGTATTCAAATAATTATGATTACAAATAAATTGAAAAATAGCGATAGGTTACGTATCTTTATAATTTTCCTTATGTAAACGTCCAAAATATCTAAGCAATTGTTTCGGGTCTTACAGAAAAAAACCCTGCTGATAATTACTGCCTTAATAAACCTGTACAGGAATGGCTTAAATAAACTGAGGAAACATGTCTGTGAACATTATTAATTTAAATTAACATAGTAAATCGTGTCATCTATTCAGATGACAGTGGATTTCATGTTTATGAATGATGTAGGTTTTATATTCCAAAAGTATTTAGTACTAATTAAAATTTGGAAAATATTAAATTACAAAAACAACAGATTTCATTAACGGTGAAATATATGCTATTGAAAAATGTTTTCTTTTTCTTCACCTATAAAAGATTTTTTATTAACCAACAAATGCGTTTCCTCTCCATCTTAGACTCATCAGCCATCAGAAGGTTGAAAAAAAAAGTCATATGGTAAGTCTATTACACTTAAGAGAGAGTTGGGAGATGCCGTGCTGATCTGAACTGCAGCAGGCTTAACTCTGAGCAGGTCCCTGTGGATGAGGTGACCTTAGAATCCTGCATGAGCAATCATCCTCCAACCTGTAACTGAAGCAGGGACTCAACTGGATGTTTCTCACCCACTACTCATATCTTCAGTGACTAACGGGCCCTTAACTGCACAGTAAGTAACAGTATCAAAGATTTACTTTACTAGTCTCCTGTAGCAGAACCATTAACTACCTGCATTTTGACTTTTCAAAGAGCTTCATTAGCTGCTGGAATCTTTCTGAGACCTGAAAAATTTTAAAGGAGTGTTAATTACAGATGTCTCAATTAACAGTTTTTTATCTGTGATTAATATTTTCATAAAACATCTAGAGAAAGAGAAAATAGCCCTCAATAATAAAGACATGAAGTAATGTTTGGAAAAATGAAGTATCTTCATACTAAAGGTGATTACAGGTTTAATTTTTTGACATTAAACTTTCTTAAACAAGCAAACATCATTACAAGACAGCTTGAGATCAAATAGGTAAATGGTAAGACAATAGGAAAAAAGATTAGAATTGTTCCAAACTTCCATAATCACCAAGTTTTTATTTTATTTTTTTAAATTTTAATTTCCTTAATTTCCTTTAAATTTCCTTTAAATTTCCTTTAAATTTAAATTTAATTTCCTTAATTTCCTTTAATTTCCATAATCTCTATGCCCAAAGTGAGGCTCAAACTCACAATCCTGAGATAAAGAGGCACGTGCTCTACTGACTGAGCCAGCCAAGTGCTCCTTACTAAGTTTTTAACAGTTATACATGAAGAGCCATACTGTTAAAGAAGTTAGCTAATAAATATCTACATATTTTAAGCATGACAAAAGTTAAATCTATTTATAGTAGCAACACTTGTAAAAACCACAGAGATGCAAAAATTGGGTAGTTACCTGATACGGATCTTTATTCAACTTGGCAGCTAAATAAGAAAATATTTTCAGTGATGGCCCTCTTTTTTGACACTCCAATAAAATTTCCCGGTCATCATTTCTGAAGAGAGAATAATGGTATTTGTTTAGCCTTTGCATATTAGAGCCGAAAAGTAACAAAAATTCCACTGCCTTAATGTCTACAATAGGAGGTGTCATTTTTATTAAAACCCACAGAAAAAAGAAAAAAATGTATATACCAAAATATGGACAATGATGATCTCTGAGAAGTATTATGGATGACGTTTGGGCTCACAGGTATTTCCCAAAATTTTCTAAAACAAAATTGCTTTTCTAATGACAAAATTAAAGATTTTTTTCAAAATTCTCTCTTCAATTGTGGAGTACTTTTAAAACCAGGGCCCAAACATGATCATAGTCTTAATAAGCAGCAGCACCAAAAGTAAAATGGAATCCAGATCTTCTCATTGCCAGACCTGTTTTTCCACATGGTCTGAACCAGAGTGTGTTGTTATACTCTCTGAGATCCTATTCTGCCATCTGTAAATTACCTAGAAGGAAGGCATGGAAGACTGATATTAAACAAAACTGGTCACCAGGAAGTTGCTTGCTACAAAGCTCCCTCAGACCTTTGAGCACATCTGGGGCCCGAGGTTAAGAGCAAAAGCAGTTTCTGGAGACTTGAGCTAAGTTCAGGGTGACAAGGGAGAGAAGACGTGGGGCTCTCAATATATTAGGGAGCCAGGCTCTCCACGTGTTCCCAACACCAGCTGTTCCCCAATGTGCATGCCCCCAGACTGCACTTTAGAGGCTGGTGGTGTTCTATGGTAGCTAGTGTTTTGGTTAAAATAAACAAATCTCTTACTTAAAAGGTAAAATACAGTAAAATTAAGTAGAATAGAATAAAATAAAATAATAAAACTGGTCACCAATTTCAGTATGATTGAGTTTCCCTCATTATGCACACTAGATAAGTCTGGGGAGCAATGAACCTCTAGTCCAGTGGTTCACAACTTCATACATTTGTGTCTGAAATGGGGTCTTTAAATCTGCATTTCTTAAAAGTTCACATAGGAATCCAAGGTGCAACCTATTAATGAAACTTTTTTCAAACTCCTAGTTTAGGGGAAAATACAAATTACAAAGCCTCACACTTTCTGCCCTGTCTCACACCACCTGTCCTTCTTCCTTTCTAAAATGTGGCTATTGAGGGGAGGGGGGAGCGCCTGGGTGGCTCAGTCAGCAAAGGGTCTGCCTCTGGCTCAGGTCATGATCCCAGAGTCCTGGGATCAAGTCCCACAGCAGGCTTCTTGCTCAGCAGGGAGTCTGCTTCTCCCTCTGCCTGCAGCTCCCCTTGCGTGTGCCCTGCCCCCACCGCCGACAAATAAATAAAATCTTTAAAATAATTATTTTTAAAAAATAAATAAATAAAATAAAAATAAAATTGGTTATGGGGCACCTGGGTGCCTCAGTTGGTTAAGCATCTGCCTTCAGCTCAGGTCATGATCCCAGGGTCCTGTGATCGAGCCTTACATCAGACTCCATGCTTAGCATGAGAGCCTGTTTCTCCCTCTTCCTCTGCTGCTCCCCCTGTTTGTGCTCTATCAAAGAAATACATAAAATCTTTTTTAAAATAAAAATAAATAAAATGTGGTTATGCTAGGGCACCTGGGTGGTTCAGTGTTTTGAGCATCACACTCAATTTCGGCTCCAGTCAGTCTTGGGGTCGTGGGATCGAGCCTGACATCAGGCTCTGCGCTCAGCACGGAGGCTGCTTGTCCCTCTGCCTCTGCTCGTCCCCATGCTCACACTCTCTTTCAAATAAAAAAAAAAAAATAGATAAAATCTTAAAAAAAAAATAAAATACAATGTGGTTATACCAGTTCCTTACAAATCAAAGAATTTTTAGTTAAAAAAGTGATGTCACAAAAACAAAAAAACAGGAGCAGCTGGGTGGCTCAGTAAGTTACGTGACCAACTTAGCTCAGGTCTTGATCTCACAGTCGTGAGTTGGAGCCCCACACTGAGCTCCACACTGAGTATGGAGCCTATTTAAAAAAAAAAAAAAAAAAGTGAAAACTTGTATCCATGGTGCTAATGCACAAACCTGGTTAAGAGCCTCTGCTCTAGATCATTCCATGCTCCAGCTGAACTGTACTCTAGAATGCATCTTCTACCAACTCTGGCCATTTCTGAAGTATATCATCACCTGCCTTATTTTCGGATGGGATGATAAAACTGTGACGACATGACAGAACAGATGTCTAGCCTGCCAACATTTCCTGGTGACTTAAGAGTCTCAAGAGTCTTACCTTGTCCATAAAACTATAATTTCTCCCTTCTTTTTAATAACATTCTTTGCAGAAAGGCTTTTAGGAGATGTGGCAGATGCTGCTGATGGATCCTTAATCCCTGGGCTTGACGATGAGGGCTCTTTGTTCACCGCAGGGTCTTTTTTCTTACTGGCTTTCTTTCGGTGTGCTTCACCATTCTCACCAGAATCTTGGGTAATTTTCTTGGTCTTTTCCCTACTGCTTAAGTCTGTTTCCTTCCTCTGTTTTTTATTAGAATGGTTTAGATCAGAAAGGTTTTTTCTCTTTTTAGGAGCATTATCCAAAGCTCCAGGCAATACTGAATCATCAGAATTTGATGCCGGCTCTGACTTTAAATCATCCTTTTTTACTTCGCATGAACTGGGAGGTTCTGAGGTCAAATCGATATAGGTTTCCTCAACAATGCATTCCAAAGGCCTATCTGCCATTTGCACCTTTTCTTCCTTACAGTTATCTTCATCTACGCATATCACCTGACACTCAAAGTGTTCAACAGCTAAGGCAGGACAGTTCCCTTCGTTTTTACTCTCACTTGAAACATCTTGTGTCAAATCAATAAAAGCATCTACGGTATCGGGCTGCATTTCATCTAGTATTTGAGCACTCTGCTCCAAACTGCCTTCAGAGCATCCCAACTGATCAATATTTAAAACTGTTACTTCTATGAATTCCCCCAAGTTTTTGGTCTCAGTGACTGAGTCTTTCGTGAGGTCTATATAGGTGTTTGGAAGATGAGCCTCGACAGAATGTGAAATTTCCTCCATTGGAGGCAATTCTTCAATGCTTTCAGGTACTTTTGGTTCCCATACTTGGTGCAACTTAAAGCATTCATCAGTCACTTCATTACTATGGCCCACTTTACCTGAAGCATCTTTAAGAAATTCATATATATCGGGAACCTGTGTTTCTATCATACAGTCCTGTTCTTCATGGGCTGATTTACGGCTGTCAACATTGTTGTCGGAATTTAGTTCCTCCACAGATTTAAAATCTCCGTTCTGACACGAAACATAGTCTTTCTCTGACGCTTTATCAGCGTCCTTTTCCAATCCAGGCAAAGATGCCAACGACTCATCAGCCACCGCATTCTGTTTGAGACTAGGGGAGGCAGATGGTGCTGCCCGCCGTATTTTCACAATGAAATGATCATTGGACTTTTCCATTATGACAGCATGCATGGGTAGGTTGGGGTGGTACTGAAAGCCTGGAGCAACAGACCGACTTGTCCATGATGAAGAACAACTTGACTTGCTGCTTGAATTATCAGACTCCAGAGCTAAATGAATATCTTGTTCAGACGCATCCTCTTCCTCAAGTAAGGCATCCTCACTAAAATGGGCACTAATAACTTCTTCAGGAGTTGAACTGGACAAAACTTCAGGCTTTAGGAAACTGAGATGACCGTCTGACTTCAGAGGTGACGGCACTGTTAAAGAGACTGCTAAGTCTTCCAGAAGTATGGAGGAAATGCAGGGTTTGCTCTTTTCTGAACCACACACATTATCTTTACTCAAAGCTATATTAGTGGACACGTCAAACATGCAACTTTCATCCAACACATCAGGGTGAACTGGCAACGAAAGCCCTGAAGATAGAGAAGGGCCTTTCTCGGATGATAATAATGACCAATTATCATCACTAATCATTTTAGGACATGGAGAAACCACCCCTGAAACTAGCTCATCGGTTGTACAAGCTGGTATAGATTCACACTTAAGACTCTCCAGCAGCTGTTTTTCTGGGGTCTTTAACTCCCACTCACTTTTTTCATTACAATTAACGCTGTTATCTAAAAGGTCAGAACCCTGTAACAAACTTTTAAATATTTCACCCATCTGGGCATCGCTCACTAAATTAAAAGTAAGGCTGGAGGCTTGCTGTTCAGTGAGAATCTCGAAACTGCGTTCTGGCTTCAAAGCTGCATGCTGGGACGTCTGCGTGTCTTCAACAGTGTTGCCTTCGGTTCTTCCTGGCTTTGGGGTGCCAGGACGGTTTGGTTCCAAGGAGTGTTCTTCAGATTGAGAGTTCTTAATATTATCAAAGGAAGTGTTACAACTTTTTTTAATGTCACGCTTTACTGTGTTAATGCTGAAATTATTTTGGTCTTGATGTTTTTCCTCAGACTTTTTACATCCTGGTAAAGACTTACAATTAGCAGAATCTTCTGATTTGGGGGATTTCTCTTTCAGCATTTCCTTGCTGGAGCAGTCCACATTTCCCTTCTGACCATTTGAATACTGGGCTTTCTCTTTACTTATCTTCTCACGTTTTCCTTCATCACTGTCACTGCCAAAGTTTATGGAATCACAAAACTTTACTAAGATTTTCTTAAGCTTTGCGAACAAATAATCCAGCTGTTCATCTACAAATTTCCACAGTTTTTTTTTCATATCTGGTAGCTGCTGTTCAAATAAACGGTCCACAATGCCATTCTTCTTAACTTGCTTAAGCTTGGATTCTATAACATCACAGAGATTATTCTGTAAAGTAGCCACAGACTTTGAGATTTTGGATAAGTCAAGGTGTTTAATTAGTGATGTAAAACTCAAAGTTGCTGACTCAATAATTCTATGGAATTGCATTAATGAAAATTTTACCTTAAATTTCATATAATTTTTCCTCACATGTTTCCTTATCATTCGTAACATGTGCATAATCTCCCGTACAGAAGAGGGTGCAGCAATAATCGGAACTATTTTTTCCAGGCTGGAGGTACTCATTGTCTTGTCTTTCTTCTCTGTTTTTGAAGATCTGCTAGATTCACTTCGTCTTTTATTCCATTTGCTTTTGGTCTGATGGATTTTTATAGATGTTTTTCTACTCTCTTTACCCAAATGCAGAGTACTTTTCCTACTTCCTGGGCTAGTTTTTGTGTTCTGTACTTCAGCAGAAGTTCTAGGTGTGGCACTTTTTTCAAAACTTTTTTGTGGCTTAGATTTTTCATTGTCGCTTATAATTTCTCCTTCTTCTAATTCATCTAAAGATGAGTTCTTATGAGAGTCTGTATCTATAAATTTGTCAGACTTGCAAATTGGCTTTTGATTCTCCTTATTGAGATCAGACTTGCTTTTGGAGGTAGACAGAGCTGAATTTGGTGGAACTATATCTGTGGAAGAGAAATATATATTACAGTCACATGACTAGAGTCTTAAGTCATTTGAGATTTCCATACTAAATATAATAAAAACTTATAAACTGCGGCAATTCATTTTTTTTATAAGTAGGCTTCATACTTAGTGTGGAACCCAGTGTGGGGCTTGAACTCACAACCCTGAGATCAAGACCTGAGCTGAGATCAAGAGTCAGATGTTTAATCAACTGAGCTACACAGGCACCCCCAATTCATTATTTTAATAGCTTTCTTAATAGTAGAATGTTAATGCCTAATAATTAATCATGTCATATGTCTTTACTGGTCTTAATTTGTGCTCAGTGATGATACAGTTTGGTCATTGGACTAACCATCAACCAACCAACTCTTGGGGTAACTTTGGGTATCTTCATGTTAGCAGCACCACCTACTCTATACCATTTGATGATGGCTTTTGAACAAAACTCTGAAAGCAAGCAGAGTATTTGAAACAATCTGCCCTAATACTCTCTTTTTTGTAAAAAGAACAAAACTTAGATGAAAGGCTCAATGTACATTTCAAATCAACGACAGGGGTCTGAGTTATGTTACAGAAGAAAAAAAAAAAAAAAAGAACACTGGGACAGCTGGGTGGCTCAGTCACCCTTAAATGTCTGCCTTCAGCTCAAATCATGATCCCAGGGTTCTGGGATCCAGTCCAGCATCAGGCTCCTTGCTCAGAGAGAAGCATGCTTCTCCCTCTTCCTCTGGCTACCGCTGCCCCTACTTGTGCTTAGTCTCTCTCTCTTTCTGTCAAATAAATAAAATCTTAAAAAAAGAAAAGAAAGAAAAGGCACTAATTCTTCTTGCTTATGTATTTTGCATTCTCACATAAAGTTACAGAACATAATATAAACTATTACCTTTATGACTGTTATTACATAATGGAACTTGAGATGGGCTTTCCAATCTAAGAACTTTTGCTACAGGTCTCACTGGACTATTCAGAGGACTGATGGCTTCTGGAATAGGCCTCAGGTGATTAAGGTCAATGCTCAGAACTGAATTCTCATCATCGTTATATACTGAGTTTGTTTCACCGATTTCCGTTTTGCTGTCCATTAATTCAGTCTGCTGAAGTGAAGATTCTAGTGTCTCTTTAGGTGAGGAAGGCTCCAAATGACAAGACTTACTTTCAACCAGTGGTGTATCTACAAGAGAAGGCTCAAATTTGCGGTTACCATCTTCTGAAAGGGCTATTGGCAAAATGCCAGTTTCTTCAACTGAAGGCTGCAAAATGCTATCACTGGATTCAGCTACTTCTGTTGAAAAAGCCTCTTTCATTCCCATACCTCCCGAAACACAAGAATTCACATCATCATTTTTTTTGGTATCCAATTCCAAGCCAAAGTTTTGAGAAACATTTGTCTGTAATATGTCCATTACTACAGGAACTGCTGCCCTGGTATCATTAATGGTTTGTTCCTTTTCTGCTGATGATGGAAACATAGATTCTGTTTGTTTCATTTCCACGGGTGCTGAGAAAGAAGTCTCTGTATGACAAATGGGCACATCACAATCCACAGTATTCTCAACAGATTTAACTAACAAACTGTTTTCTTCTTCTATTTTCCTTTCTGGATTACTGGTCCTGACTTCAGATACAGCTCCAAGAGCATCCTTTGGTTCCGACAACTTGGATTCCGTTTCCTCTATGGTATGTTCATTGACAGAGGAAACACATGTCACTGTTGTCGCCTGCACCAAGCACTCCAAATCACATATGCCACTGGATTTGGGGATATTGGTTATCTTATGGTGGTTACCCTGAGAAACAGGCTGCTTTTTAGCAGGAGAAAGAGTTAAGTTCAATTTTTCCATAAAACTCAATTTTAAGTCTTTATTTTTTGTTTCATTTGGACCAATGTCAGCTTTAATTACAAGCTCTTTATTATCTGCTCCTTGAGAAACATCAGTGTTAGAGACTTCACCTTTATCACTTTTTGGCTCATTCTGTCTCTTTAAATCAGTAGTGGTTTTCTTAATTTCTTTGTTAGTCTTCTGCAAATGTTCTGTAGGTGTTCTTTTTTCACTTCTTATATGCCTACTTTCTTCTTTGCTTTCTCGTTCTCTTTTCCTCTTATCTTCAGTTCTATGCCATTCTGCTTTTAAAGGTGTATTTTCCCATTGGTGCACAGCATCAGCTTCCTTGGAGTCAATGTGTTTATGAGTTCTACTGGATGAAAGAAAGGATGGACATCTTCCTTCTTGAAAACTATGATTACTTACACCTCTATCTCTTTTAAAATCTTCCCTTCCTCTTCTCTCTTCTAGATGGTATTTACTTGAATTATGAGAAGATTTTATTTCACTCTTGGAATGAGGAAGTGATGCTCGTTCAGATCTTCTCCAGAGATCCTGATCTTTTACTACAGATTTAGATTTTTGATCAGCTTTTCTTTCTTCTTTGTCTTGTGACTTAAGTTCTTTTCTATTTGTATTTTGTGATCTTTCACTTGGTCTTTCTAGTTTTTTGTCACTTTGAGAGTCCATTCGAGTGTATGACCTTTCTCTAAAGGTCTCTTTCTCCCAAGAAGAGCTAATTCGTTCATTTTTATAATCCAAATCCATGTTACTTTTGAACTTTGAATTTTTGCTTTCAGCCTTTGGTTCACCTTTACCATATTTCTCAGGACGTCCTTGTAGCCTTTGACTAGTCTCTATGCTCCTCAGCTCACCATCACCACAACTAATATTTAAGTCTTTCCGTATTCTATCAGTTCCTCTGCTATATTGGCTATGTCTAATATCTTTTCTCCCTCTTCTATTATCTTCACTTGAAATACCCTCAACAACCTGATAATGGGAACGTGACCAAATGCCATTGGTGCAGTGTTTTTCAATAGATGGAGGCAAATACAAAGTGCTCTTTTTTTCACAATATGATTTTCCTTCCTTTTCGGGATTTGGCAGTGAAGTGCTATGATGTCCATCTTTAGAAACATCACTTTTCACTCTGAGATCAGTCTTTGAACAATCATCCAAATGGGGAGATCTGGATTTAAGATCTTTTGTTTTAACTATATCTGCTATCCTTGCAGTTCTGTGATTATTTCGAAAATGTGAGAACTCGGACAATCTAATAAGAAATAGAAATTAACAACAAAAACCAAAGTTAATTTCTTGTTAATAATCCAGATTTTAATCACATGCAAAACACTTTAAAAGTCAGGCCCCACATACTGGCAAAATTAATTTTATTTCATATAAAGACATGAGTGACGCCTACCAGCTTCCAACTAAACGGGCCCATTTTTAAAATAAGGAAACTCCCTTTTAGTTGTTTTGCTCAAAGTTTGAAAGACCTCTCCATTCTATCCCAGCACTTAATCAATGTCTTCCAGACCTCCCTCACCACAGGCAGACCACTCCCAAACTAACCACAGATTCATTTCTTTTAGAACAAGTGACATTATTTTCTTGTCCTCACTCACTCTAGAGCAACTAAAACAGAAGGAAAAGTAAAACAATGCCAGACAACACAGATAATCATAGAGTTCAATGGAGCTCTCTACCCCAGTTTTCTATTTCACATACAATTCCATTGTTATACCAAAGCATCAATACCCATCTTAAAGTGTCACATACTATGCAAAAATAAAGAGAATTCTTTCTTAGGGGAATGGCATGTACTTATTGTTTAACAACAACAACAACAAAAGCCTAAGTCTTAAGGTTTTATAGTAGTGTTCCAGAAAACTGGCAGTTTTCCTAATAATAAAATGCAAATAGCTCATTTTGGTTCCTTGTAATACATCTTCCTGAACTTCTATAACTTCCCTGAATCTCCATAAATGTATTCCTAATCAGTACTAAATGTATAGAGAACACCAAAGCTTAAAAGACTCAGGAATAAGGGGAGATTTTTATAAAACAAAAGAGGACATGGGTGACATACAACCTAAAACAGTATGTACATTTTATATGGATCTTGTTATGGGCTAAATTGTGCTCCCCCCAAATTCTTATGCTGAACTTTCAGTATCTCAGTGTGCCTTTATTTGAGGACAGGGTCTTTCTAAAGGCAATCAAGTTAAAGAGAGGCCACTAGGGTGGGCCCTAATCCACTATAACTAGTATTCCTATAGAAAAGGGAAATTTGGACACAGAGCTATGTGGAAAATAAAAGCAACAGGAAGAGACACAGGAAGAAAGCAACCATTTACAAGCCAAGGAAAGAGGCCTGGAACAGATCCTCCTACACATAGCCCCCAAAAGGAATCAATCCTGCTAACACCTTGATCTTGGATTTCTAGCTTCCAGGACTATGAAACAATAAATTTAAACAACAATATTTATTAAGCTACCCAGTTTGTGGTCATCTGTTAAAGCAGCCTTAGGAAACTAATAAAGATCTTAGCTCAAAAAACAGGGGCGCCTGGGTGGTTCAGTGGGTTAAGCTGCTGCCTTCGGCTCAAGTCATGATCTCAGGGTCTTGGGATTGAGTCCCGCATCGGGCTCTCTGCTCAGCGGGGAGCCTGCTTCCCTCTCTCTCTCTCTCTCTGCCTGCCTCTCTGTCTACTTATGATCTCTCTCTGTCAAATAAATAAATAAAATCTTTAAAAAAAAAAAATTAGAAGATACCTTCCACTAGGGAAAGATAACCATAAAAGAAAAACATCTGACAAACTAAACATCACTAAAATTAAAAACTTCTGGGCAACCCTCTTGGGTCCCCTCCCTTCTCAAGAGCTTTGTATTATCACTTTATTACCACTCAATAAACCTTGCTTTGCTGCCCACCAAAAAAGTAAAATAAAATAAAAATTAATTAATTAATTAAATTAAAAACTTCTATTCCTCATAAGACACAATAAAGAGTGATAGACAAATCACAGAATGGCAAATGTTCACAATAAATTTATCCAACAAAGAACTCATATTTGACAAAGGACATATGTGTTATGTATGTCATACTTATTAAACCTATAAACTATTAAACTATAAGTTCCTAAAAGATAGTTCTAGGGACGCCTGGGTGGCTCAGTTGGTTGGACGACTGCCTTCGGCTCGGGTCATGATCCTGGAATCCCGGGATCGAGTCCCACATCAGGCTCCCAGCTCCACGGGGAGTCTGCTTCTCTCTGACCTTTTCCTTGCTCATGCTCTCTCTCACTGTCTCTCTCTCAAATAAATAAAATCTTAAAAAAAAAAAAAAAAAAGATAGTTCTAGCCCACAGAGCTCATAATACATATTTAGTATAGCTCCTTACTAGATAAAATGCTATCAAAAGTCTTATTTTAAGAGGTACCTAGGTAGCTCAGTCAGAAGTGCAACTCTTGATCTCATGGTCATGAGTTTGAGCCGTAGGCTGGGTATACAGATTACTTAAATAAATAAGCTTTTTAAAGAAAAGTTTTCTTTTAAAATAAACCTTCACATAATATAATTTCCAGAATGCATACTCTTAAACTTTCACCCTATGTTATTTCTAATTTTTCTATTAAACATGATGTTTCAACCAAATGATAAACACTTACCATTAGAATACCAAATATAGGTCACAATTATAAAGTGAAAATATCTGCAGAATATTTATTAGATAATATATAACCACATCAATCAATCTAATGACATAACTTTCATTTATTCACCCAATTTCTCTTTCCACCCTGTTCAAACATGACACCCCACCCATAAAAGATACAAAAATGTATAAAATTTCCCCAATATTTCAGGAAGCAATCTTACACCAGTTGCACTGATGGGATTTAGGTTAGTAAACACACAGCCATCTTCATTTTCAAGACGCCTAAAGTCCTTTATGATGCCATACAGTCCACACATAAAGATTATTTTCTCACTCGTCAATCATTTATTGACTGTCTGCCATGTGCTAGGCTCTGAGCCAGGCTCTTGATAAAATGGTGAAGATACACAGACATAGTCCCTGCTCCATGAAGCTTACAGTTCAGTGAAAAGACAGATACTAAAAGAAAGTTCTAGCCCACAGGGCTTTTAAGAGATAACATGGAGATAAGAAGAAGATACTAGGGGCACCTGGGTGGCTCGGTGGGTTAAAGCCTCTGTTTTCAGCTAAGGTCACGATCCTAGGATCCTGGGATCGAGCCCCACATGCGGTGGGGGGGGGGGAGGTGGGGGGGTGTCTCTGCTCAGCAGGGAGCCTGCTTCCCTTCTCCTCTCTCTGCCTGCCTCTCTGCCTACTTGTGATCTCTGTCAATAAATAAATAAAATCTTAAAAAAAAAAAAGAAGAAGAAGAAGAAGAAGAAGAAACTAAACAAGTAATTCCATTACTGATTTTAAAAACTCCAAGTATACATGAAGCCACAAAAGAGAAATCTGACCTATTCAGGGATAACAGACTAATACCCCTGCGAAAATGAGTTGGTTTTTAGCAGGTGGAGAGGAGACTTCCAGGCAGTGGAAACAGTCTACGCAAAGGCAGAGCTCACGGTACATCCAAGGAACCAAAAGAATGCCAGAGACCTATCAGAGCTGTGACACCTAGGACAAAGGTAAATGCTGAAGGCAAGGCCTGAAAACTAGTTTAGGACCATATTGTGAAGAGTGAGATAATTCTATGATAGTGAAGTGTCCAGACTTGTGATTTTTAAAAAGTATCCTATCTGGGGGCACCAAGGGTAGCTTAGTAGGTTAAGCATCTGACTTAATTTCGGCTCAGGTCATCATCTCAGGGTTGTGAGACTAGGCCCCATGTCAGGCTCCGCACTCAGCAGGGAGCCTACTTAAGATTCTCTTCCTTCCTCTTCCTCCACCCCTCCCCTTCCATCCTCTCTCCCTCTCTAAAAAATAAAACAAAACAAAATAAAATAATAAAATTAATCATAAAAAATTAAAAAACAGTGTCCTATCTGCAGCTTTAATACTGATAAAAGACAAACCCAAGGCCCGAAAGACCAAGAACGGATGCAGAGATACCAGCACAAAGCCTACTGACTGATAAGAGTTGACAGGTAGCAATGATGGTAGAAATGATGAGAAATAATAGAGAGATTATAAAGACATAAAAATCAGAAGGACATGGTAATGAATTTAGATGTGAGAGATGATTAGAGGGCTAAGTGTCAATGACGTCTAGGCACGGTGACTATGTGGCCCAGTTTGCCAAGCAATCTCACTGCAGTTATTAATAGCACTCACTTCTACTCTCAGAAGGGTCCTGGTATGGGCAATAAATGATCATTCTACCTCTAGGTCTCTAGCCTGCACCAGCTGAATAAATGATGGGGAATCCACTGAGGTGGGAAACATGGAAGAGGTTTGATCATAAACTCCATTTTGGATGAGGTAATTCTGAAAATTCTGTACAGATATGAAGTAGATATCTGCATATAAATGGAACTGACCTCGTATGAGTGAGATTACCTCATATAAAAATACTGATGGAGAAAGGAAAATACACAGGTTTGTGCTTTGCAGAATTCCAACCTCATGACGTATGAGAGAATAAACCCCAAGTTAGGAAGAAAACTAAGAATCATGAAAGCCAAAGCAAGAGACTATTTCAAAGAAAGGAAGTCAAGTATGTCAATGTGAGGGCAAATTAAAATCAGAAGTCAAAACTGTTTGATGGACTTAATGGCAGTCACCATTGACCAAAATGACAGCTGTTTTGGTGTACCGATGGAAGCAGAAATCAGTGTGAAAAGGAGTCAAAGGTGAATAGAAACAGAAAATGAAGACAGCAAGTTTAGATAACTGCTCTGGAGGTCTGGCTGTGGAAAGAAAGTAGAGAGGTAAGAAGTTCTCTGGAGAATACTGACCAACCAAAATTTTAAAGAGAGAGGAAACATTAGTCACTTAGAGTAAAACCTTAAATACTTAATGCATGATTTTCCTATCTTTCCACTCAAAAGTTTAACATAGTCCACATATCAACACCCAAGTGATTTATACACAGATTCATACCCTTCAATTGTACCTTTGGTGAAGATTATTTATTTCTTCATCTTTGCGATTTATTTCCACTCTAGCGGTTTTGATAAGTGCTGAAATATTCTTCTTAAGAGATTGGTTTTCATTTTTTAAGCTGAAATTCTAAACACCATAAAATACATTTAAAGTACATACAGAAATAAAGTATATGTCTACAGGATTATTAACTTATATAATACAGCTGATGATTACTGAATGCTTTAACTACATGCCAGGCATCACACTTTTTATCTTATGTAATTCTCAAAAAAGTCCGATGAGAAGCACTATTATGCTCATTATACAGCAGAGATTCAAAGAGGAATGGCACCAGAGCAAGGCCAGTCCAACTGAAACTACTTAAAACAGGGTTCAGAATGAAAAGGAAATAAAAAGTTCAATAAAGGGATGTCTGGGTGGCTCAGTCAGTTGGACATCTGCTTTTGGCTCAAGTCATGATCCCAGAGTCCTGGCATTAAGTCCCACAACAGGCTCCCTGCTCAGTGGGGAGCCTGCTACTTCCTCTGCCTGCTGCTCCCCCTGCTCGTGCTGTCTATCTCTGACTCTCTCTGGCAAATAAATAAATAGAATCTTTAAAAAAAAAAAAAAAAGTTCAATAAAAAGACAAGAAAAAAGTTCTGCCTGGGTCATTATCTTGAAAATTGAAAATAAAAATGATAAAATTTTATTATATTTAACAACTTAAGTTTAACTTGTAACAATGTACCAAACCCAGAATGAACAAAGAATGAATTTAATAGTACTAACTGGTTCTTTGGGGAAAAGGGAAACAAAGAGAAACAACTTTACAAAAAATAATAATAATAAATAAAAACCAGAACAAGACATGACATTCCTGTATGCTGTATCACGTTCACAAAAAAAGTCACTCTTGCAAAAATTGTGAAGGCATCACCATTTTCTCCCAACGGCCATTCTAAATTTTGCTCCTCAAGCCAATCTCTTTCAAACCACCTGATACCATCTCCATTAATTTTCCATTATTTAACTGTTAACTAGTCTAATAGACCTTTACGTAAATGTCATTTAACACATCAATCCGTTTTCTTGTATTAGTTTCCTTGACACAGGAAATAATGCATGTTTTGCCAGATTTGCTGTTTCATTTAACACAAAAAAAGAGTTTCCTTATAAACTGCCAACAATTTAGCATCTTAATTTCTAACAAAATCAATTTAACACATTTTGACTTAAAATTAAAAAAAAAAAAAAAAAGCCCTAGGGCCTCAGTAAAGTTTCTCTCTCATTGACTGGAGCAGTAAAAACAAAAACAAAAAGGCAAAAATATTCACTATAATCCTACCTGTGTCTGTATTTCCTTAAACTTTTTCATCAGCTCTTTCATTTGCAGCTGACATTTACCATATTCTACTTGCAACTGTAAGATAGAAAAAGATTAACTTAAGCATCATTCTAAATTATTTTCTTAGCTTAAGTGACATTTCAGAATATTGTAAAATTTAGAAAATCAACCCACTATGAAGGACAGACAAGGTCTATTCTACTAACAGATATTTAGTAAAATTACTAGTTCTAAAAATTATCCCAACCAAAAACTTATTTTGTTCAGTTTCACATTCAATCCAGACCTTAAAATTCAAGGGAGAAAGAAATTTGTCTGAATTAAGTCTTGGGACATTTTAAAACTTAGAACAAATCATGAAAAGATAAAATGTTTTATTATACTGATTGCCTATTGAGGTTTTATATATTCAGACACTTAAATTTAATCAACCAAAATTATAACTAAATTTAGACAAGCATTCAGAAAAGATTATTTTAAAAAGCAGATCTGAAGGCAGAGACTGACTTAAATATTCTTTTAGACAAAGAGCTACAACTTAAACACAGAATATTTAATAGTAAGCGGACCCCTGAACTTCAGAAGCAACAAAAGGTAAAATAACCGTCCTTAATCCTGGCAAACCATACATCATTATATGTTGCCTCCTTTGCAGTTCCTTCTTCAGTCAGGATTTCTTCATATAAATCCAAACAATTTCGGGATGGCACACATGATTTGGAAGCAATGTCTAAAACAAACAAAAAGCTCTTAAATTAAAATATGTACTTTCTGATTCAATCCTATCAAAATTCCAGTGTCATTTTTCCACAGAACTGGAAACAACAGTCCTAAAATTCACATGAAACCACAAAAGACAGCAAACAGACAAAGCTATCTTGAAAAAGAAGACCAAAGCTGGAGGCATTATATCTACTGATTTCAAACTCAAAGTAATCAAAACTGTATGCTACTGGCATAAAAACAGACACACAGATCAGGCAAACAGAACAGAGAGTCCAGAAACATATATGTATCATCAGTTAATTTATGACAGAGAAGCCAACAATATACAATGGAGAATGGATAAGCTCTTTCAATAAATGGTGTTGGAAAACTGGACCCCAACTTATTCCACACACAAATATCAACTCAAAATGGATTAAAGACTTAAATGTAAGACCCAAAACTATAAACTCTCAGGAAAAAAAATATAAGGGTAAGTGTTTAGACTTCAGTCTTGGCAAAGATTTTCTGGATCTGACATTAAAGGCAAGGGAAATAAAAGCAAAAACAAACAAGCAGGACTACATCAAACTAAAAAGCTTCAGCACAGAAGAACCTGGGTGGCTCAGTGAATTCAGTTTTCAACTCCTGATTTTGGGTCAGGTCATGCTATCAGGGTCATGAGATCAAGCCCCACCTTAGGTTCTACGCTGGCTATAGAGCCTGCTTAAGATTCTCTCTCTCCCTTTCCCAAGCTCATGCTCTCACTCTCTCCCCCCCAAATTAATTGATTAATTAATAAAAATAAGCTTCAGCACAGCAAAGGAAACCATCAACAAAATGAAAAAGCAACTCAAAGAATGGGATAAAATACTTGCAAAGTATGTATCTGACAGGGGGTTAATATCCAAAACATATAAAGAGCTCATACCACTCAACAGCAAAAAAAAAAAAAAAAAAAGAGAGAGAGAGAGAGAGAAAAGAAAAGAAAGAAAAGAAAAAAGAATCTGATCGAAAAATGGGCAGAAAAACTGAATAGACATTTTTCCAAAGACATAAAAATGGCCAACAGGAACATGAAAAGGTGCTCTACATGACTAATTACAGGGAAATGCAAATCAAAAAACCACAATGAGATACTGCCTTACACCTGCTAAAATGGCTATCATCAAAGACAAGAGATAAAAATATACATATAGCATAGGGAATATAGTCAATAATAATGTAAAACTTTGTATAGTGACAAATGGTAACTATACTTACCATGATGACCACTGCTTAAGGTATAGAACTGTCAAATCACTATGTTGTATACTTGAAACTATTATAATGCTGTATGTCAAGTATACTTCAATAAAATAAATGAACAAATAAGAAATAAAAAGCACTTGCCACAATTAGCAAGTAAACGTTTAGTAAAGGTTGCTGCTGTTTGTATCAGAAACCTCCCCTTAAAAAAACAACAACAACCATGAGACAACAAGTGTTGGCAAAGCCGTGGAGGAAATGGAACCCTTGTGCATGGTTGGCAGGAATATAAACTGGTACGGTACTGGAAAACGCTGTGGAGATTCCTCAAAGACTTAAAAATAGAACTATGATATGATTCAGCAATCCCACCCCTGGATATTTATCCAAAGGACATAAAAACGGGATCTCAAAGAGCCTGCACACCCATGTTCACTGCAGCATTATTCACAATAGCCAAGATATAGAAAGAACCTAAGTGTTCACTAACAGATGGTCAAAGGTGATGTGGTATGTAAAAAAAAAAAAAGAAAAGAAAAAAAAATATATGTATATTTACACACACACACACACACACGAGGTATTATTCAGCCATGAGAAAGAAGGATATCCAGCCATTTGCAACTACATGGATGGACTTGAGGACATTATACTAAATGAAACAAGTCAGAGAAAGACAAACAGTACGATATCAATTTATATGTGAAATCTAAAAATGCCAAATACATAGAAACAGAGACTGGAATGATGGTTATCAGGGACTGGGTGGGGGGTCGGGGAAGAAGAGATGTTGATCAAAGAGTATAAACTCCCAGCTCTAAGATGAGTAAGTTCAGGGGATCTAAAATACAGCATAGTGATTATAGTTAATCACACTGTATTACATACTTAAAAGTTCCCAAGAGAATACATCTTAAATGTTCTCACCATAAAAAAGAGATGATAATTATGTATCAGGATTGATGCGGGTGTTAGCTTAGGCTAAAGGGGTAATCATTTTGCAACACATGTGAGTAAGCAATACTTACATACCTTAAATTTACACAACGTTAAATGTCAACTATATCCCAGTAAATTGGGAAAAAAAGAAAGTATATGTGCTAAGTTTTTTGAGGTTGTGTCTATTTCAACTCAAAGGGCTATACATTTCTCCACCCCCTGCATTTCGTCCAAATAGATACTGATTAGAAAACCAATTTACCTAAAGCACTTATGTCAACAAATCAGTATCGTATCTTCTCAAAGATATCTTATTATTGCTTTGAGATCTTATTATTGCTTTGAGATATCTGATTATGGAAAAGGTTTCTAATTTGGATAGGTCATTAGTTTCTCTGCATATCATACTCTTACGGATACACTTGAAAACATTTATAGCAACTACCCTTTTTAAAAGTTCTAATGTCATGTAAGCCGTGACAGTATGAGTAGTAATATATGTATACACAACACCAACAGTCTGCATTTTAATGGTACAAAATATATTTGCTCAAGGTCCAGTTAAATCTGAGACCTAGATGATAACAAACCTGAGTGCTAATTTTTTTTACTGATCAAACTTTAGTCAAGAAAATAATTACCTAAGTAAAATTATTCCAAAGAATGGTCAAATTATTCAGGAACTATGCATTACTCTGAGAACTGTAACAAAATAAATATTTCTAATAGATTGACCCCCCACCCCAAAAAAAGAACCTATTTTATTTTAGAATTTACATACCAGAAACAGCACTGTCCAATCCAGCATATATATCCAAAGAACCTTCATCATTATTTTTAAGAGGAGAAGCTGCAAGAAAATCAAAGACTTGTTAAAAATGATTTTATGCACTTAATGAAGTTTTTCTATTCCTACTCTGGGGAGCCAGGAAAAGGAGACTTTATCAGCCGTACACCAAAAAAGACAATTGTTTTTAAGTTTTTATACATCCTTATAAACAGAAAGATCTCAATACACAGATTTATGACTCAGCGTCTTTTAGGCTTAAAAACTCATTTTCAAAAAGAAACTTTTGACAAGGTTCCAATTCCAATTATAGCACAGTAGTTCTATCAGACCAATCCTCCTGCTGAGAACAACATAAACTCCAAGCAAACTATTAAAAGCTATCTATAGGGGCGCCTGGGTGGCTCAGTGGGTTAAAGCCTCTGCCTTCGGCTCAGGTCATGATCCCAGGGTCCTGGGATCGAGCCCCACATCGGGCTCTCTGCTCAGTGGGGAGCCTGCTTCTCCCTCTCTCTCTCTGCCTGCCTCTCTGCCTACTTGTGATCTCTCTCTCTGTCAAATAAATAAATTCTTTAAAAAAAAAATAAAAAATAAAAATAAAAGCTATCTATAGTCAAATGCTCTACCACTAAACTATTATTGTGGTGATCATTTCCCATTACATACAAATACTGAATCATTATGTCATACACCTAATACAACTAATACAAAGTTGTATGTATAATTATACCGCAATTTGAAAAAAAGTGGGGGGAACAATCTAAAAAACAAAAAAGTAACCCAAAGCAGGCAAAAATTGAAGGGGAGACAATACCTGAAAAACAGTCTTAAGTGTGTCCCCTATCCTTCTTTTATTACAATTTTTTGTAATAAAATTTTTTGTAGAAGGATACGCCCTAATTGAAGCCAACAATGGGCAGTGAAAACTCAGATGGAAACCTCTAGTCCTAATAGCTTGAAGAACAAGAGAAAGAACTTGGGAGGGATAACAGCAACTAGAAACTAAGAAAGAAAATTCAGAGAGCTGGAGAATATTCCCCAAATTGTGTCCAAATCTCCGAGTGATCCCCAAAGTACGTAAAGGTTAAAACTCCAAAATGTCCAGCTAAAGTTAAAATATCTGAACAGGGTTTTCAGCTGCTATCCACCACAGGTAAGACAGAAGTTTAAGTTCAGCTAAGTTAAATACTTGCTAACAGTAAAAACAACATTCTTCCGAGCAATATAGCATAATCCAAATATCTCTAGAACATAACAGAATTCAGTGTCCAGAATACAATCCAAAATTACTACATAGGAAGAAACAAAACAAAACAAATAAACAAAAAAAATGAAAATCCTAAAACTGAAAACTACAATTTCTAATTTTTAAAAAAATTCACTGAATGTTCTTGACAGCTGAGCCAGTGAATTTGAAGATAAATCAATAAAAACTACCCAATCTGAAGAATAGAGAGAAAAAGATTTAAAACAAAATCAAACAAATAAACAAAAAACAACAAAAGTCTTAGTAACCTATAGGATAATGTCAAAAGTTCTCACATACTATATATCTGGAGTCCCAGAAGAGAGATGGGGACAAAAAAATTATTCTATAAAAATACTAAAGAGTACTAGAAGGACTAAAAATGATAAATAATTGAGTAAATATAAAAGACTAATTTTTCTTAATTTGATTAACTCCTCTTAATTTTTTTAAAGATACATAGAATGGTTTAGAGCAAAAATTACAGCTTTGTATCATGAGACTTATGACATCTTTAATATAAAAGGACGAATGGAGGTTAAAGACAACTATACATACAAGATTCTACATCTTAGGTGAAAAGGTACAATACCAGAAAGTAGACCACAAAGTGTTAAAGAAGTATACTGCAATCCCTTGAGCAACCACTAAAAAATAATGCGAAGAGGTGTAGTCCATAAAGCGAACATATAAATTGGAACGGAATTCTAAAATATATTCAACATTTGAAAGAAGGCACGAAAATCAGAAAGAAAAAAACTAATGAGAAAAACTAAAATAAAGAATTAAAATGATGATTAAATTCCAATCATAATAATAAAGAAAATTTGAGGGGCGCCTGGGTGGATCAGTGGGTTAAAGCCTCTGCCTTCGGCTCAGGTCATGATCCCAGGGTCCTGGGATCGAGCCCTGCATCGGACTCTCTGCTCAGTGGGAGCCTGCTTCCTCCTCTCTCTCTCTGCCTGCTTCTCTGCCTACTTGTGATCTCTGTCTGTCAAATAAATAAATAAAATCTTTAAAAAAAATAAAAAATTTAAAAAATAAAGAAAATTTGAGGGTTAACTGACAAAAATAGCAGATTGAATAAAATTATTGTATCAATGTTAAATTTACTGAAATTGATACTATGCTGTTGTTATACTAGAAAACCTAACTTTCTCTTATGAAATATACACTGAAGTATATAAATAATATATGCAACTTACAAGTAACAAATACCTATTTTGTATTTCTTTGGATATGGCAATAAATATTACCACTTATACTGGCAAAGTTGTTAATTTCATTAAATTTAAGAGACTCAAAAGCATACAATAAGAAAGTTCACATTTACTAAGTATTTCCTATTTGCCAGGCACTTTATTGTATTAATTAATTTGTGTGTAAGAAGAGAAAGTTGATGAGTGTTACCAGTGAACATAAATTATTTTATACTTAAATAAATTTAGAAGAACAGTTAAAATGAGCTCTTACCAGAAAAGACCTCATATAAACTTGTTCCATCACCGTTGTCATCATCTGCTGCCATGATCTTATTTCCTTTTGACAGTCGCCATCTAGAGTATTGAATATAAAGATTTTCCACTTAAAATCAACCTCAAAAGTCAGAGAGTGAACCTAGCTTTAAGTTAAAAAGCAACTTCTAAATTTGGACACAATGAATAAATTCAGTCCCTATCATCACTTTTCAAAAAGTGCCTAACATTTTCCAAAACCTTAAACTTGCTTATTATAGTTAAGCCATGTCACAAAGTAAGTGATGCTAATTTTATAAAATAGACCAAAACACAAATTAACTTTTATACAAAAGTAAGCCAACTATCATACTAAATAAGTACAATTATATGCTGAGTTCTGTGAGTCTTCTTAGCAAAACATCCAACCTGGGGTTGGTCTTGGGAACTCTTACATGTTTTCACCAGTGAGAGAGTAAGACAGGAACAACAAAGAATTTGATAATATACGAGGCCTAGTAAAGATGTGAGAAAAGAGGTATTCTCATACGTCACCCAAGTGTACACTGGTGCAAGCTGTACGGAGGCAATCTGACAATAGCTACCAAATTTTTAAATGCAAATAATCTTTGACCCAACAAGTCATATCTAGTAATGTGTTCTACAGATATACAAGCACATGGTTAAAGATGTACATAAACGAATATTCAATGCAGTGCTGTTTGTAGTGGCAAGAATGGAAGCAACAAAAGAATCCAAAACAAACCAAAAAATGTGACTTATCTGATAGTCTCCAATATGCCAGTAAAATGTGATGATGGTGCCTATGGTCAATGAACTGTGGCTACTGAGGGTTATTAAGGATACCTAGAGCTGTGCATTTCCGCTCCCACCAAGATATACTCTTAACAGCAAGATTACATTTACTACCAAATCCAATTATGCCAGTTTCCTTATTTTTTAAGAGGGGCACCTGGGTGGCTCAGAGGGTTAAAGCCTCTGCCTTCGGCTCAGGTCATGGTCCCAGGGTCCTGGGATCGAGCCCCGCATCGGGCTCTCTGCTCAGCAAGGAGCCTGCTTCCTCCTCTCTCTCTGCCTGCCTCTCTGCCTACTTGTCATCTTTGCCTGTCAAATAAATAAATAAAATCTTTAAAAAAAAAAAAAAAGACTACTTGGCCTATTAAGTTAAAAGTAGGAAATCAATAGAACTGAAAAAAACCTGGATCTTTTTATCCGTCACTGGTCTTAAATTTTTCTACAGTTGCTTATGGAAACATTGTCCACACCTTTATCTCTATAGGTTCCTGACCACTAAAAGTATGTTTTTAATTACTTACAAATTTAATACAAAGTGACAGCTCATTTCTTAGTCATGCCATATGTTACATTAAGAGTTCTTCAAAATTATTTCTGAGAATAATATACACAAGAATATGAAAGAGTTAAATTACATATGTGATTTCTCACCACGTACACATAAAGTTAAAGGAACTGTGGCCATTAATCATGTCTCTCAATTTCAGATCCACCCTTCTGTGATAATGAAGAATGACCTTGGAAAGATTTCTCCTTTGTAACTGGCTCGGTGTTAAACCTTATCAGTAGAGCACTGGAGACACACTGGAAAGGAAGGTTTTTCTTCCTAGTTTCACTGTGCCTGGCTAGTCAGGCTCCTGCAGAACATCTTTCTCTAGCATCTAGTTCCTGCAGCAGACAGTCTCTCCAGCACCAGGTTCCTACAGGGCACCATCTCTCTATACACTTGCCTCCTGTAAGTGAGGTTTCTATTACAAAGGACTCCTGTAGGACCCAGCTTGCTCCTGCCAGCCTCCTGGAGAGGGCAATTTCTCCAACTCTTGGATCCCACAGCACTTGACAGCCAGCAGCACCCAGGAGCTTCCTTATGCATCTCTTCTACCAGATTCAAAGCAGTGTCACCAGCAGGGCACTTAGCAACTTCTCTGTCCTTCACTTGGCCCCAGCCATACACCTTCCAATGAGGGCAAAGACAGCCCTTCCTTGGATGATCTATCTCAACCCTACAGGTACTGGCCACTCCCTCTATCTTCTTCTATTCCTACCTTCTTTAGAGTTATCTTTAACTTTTCTTTTTTTTTAAGATTTCATTTATTCATTTGACAGACAGAGATCACAAGTAGGCAGAGAAGCAGGCAGAGAGAGAGAGAGGAGGAAGCAGGCTCCCTGCTGAGCAGAGAGCTCGATGTGAGGCTCGATCCCAGGACTCTGGGATCACGACCTGAGCCGAAAGCAGAGACTTTAACCCACTGACCCACCCAGGAGCCCCTAGAGTTATCTTTAACTCTTACTAACCAATTCCCAGTTATTCTAACCGTCTGTTAATTCTTTTTCTAGAGGCACGGGCCTGGTTTCGTCAGTAGTAGAACATGTGACTCTTGCTCTCAGGAACATGAGGTCAAGCCCCACACTGGGCATGGAGCCTACTTTTAAAAAATAAATAAATAAAATAATAGTAATTCTTTAAGTATTTTTTCTTCAAATTACTGTATGGTCTTTGTCTCCTGATTAGATCCTACCTGATACGGATAAGAGTCGTAACAGAGATTTTAACACACTTTTCTCTGCTGATGAAGCAGTTAATTAATGATACAAGTCTGAATACAAAACTGACAGATCTGACCTGATTTTGTATCTCTGCATACAATAATTCAGAAAACTTATATTATGTTCAGGTACATCTATAAGAATTGACTGTCATGACAGTAATTTTTAACAAGTATCAAAGAACTTGTTTCAGAAATTATATCAGAACTTGTATCAACAAGTATCAGAGAACAAGCTTTATCAAAACCAACAAAATTCAGGGGTGTGTGTCTGGCTCAGTCTGTACAGTGCATGATTATCAATTTCAGGATCTTGAGTTCAAGTCCCATGGTGTGCAGGGAGCCCACTTTTAAAAAATAAACAAATAAATAAAATTCAAAGTTAATAACACACTCTTAAATTCCCAGCTCCTTTGGAAATTTGCAAGGAAAGATCAAAGAACAAATATTAATAGAAATGGGGAAACATAGAACTGAATCACAATGAATACACCATAAAGCAAAGTTTGTGGAATACAATCAAAATACTTTTAGAGGAAAAGAAGACAAAGTATTAATGGGTTCATCATCCAACTCAAGAAGTTAGAAAAAGGCCCAATAAATGTGTTAGTTTAAAAAAAAAAAAAAACAAAGAGGGGCACCTGGGTGGCTCAGTGGGTTAAGACCTCTGCCTTCGGCACAGGTCATGATCCCAGGGTCCTGGGATCGAGTCCCGTGTCAGGCTCTCTGCTCAGCAGGGAGCCTGCTTCCCTTCCTCTCTCTCTGCCTGCCTCTCTGCCTACTTGTGATCTATCTGTCAAATAAATTTGAAAAAACAAACAAACAAACAAAACAAAGAAAGAAACACATAAAGGACAGAAATTAGTAAAAAGCAACAAGCATTATAAAGATGAATAAATAGGGGTGCCTGGGTGACTCAAGTTGGTTAAGCCACTGCCTTCCCCTCAGGTCATGATCCCAGAGTCCTGGGATCAAGTCCCACATTTGGGCTCCCAGCTCTGCGGGGAGTCTGCTTCTCCCTCTGACCTTCTCCCCTCTCATGCTCTTTCTCTCTCAAATAAATAAAATCTTTAAAAAAAATAAAATAGATATGAATAAATACATTTATATTTATGGTGGTTCTTCGAAAAGGCAAGTTAAATAGGCATATCCTGGGCCAAACTAGTCAAGAGAAAGTAGGTACAAAACATTAGGAATAAGAAAGGAGGGGCACCGGGGCACCTGGGTGGCTCAGCGGGTTAAGCCTCTGCCTTCAGCTCAGGTCATGATCTCAGGGTCCTGGGATCGAGCCCCGCCTCAGGCACTCTGCTCAGCGGGGAGCCTGCTTCCCCCTCTCTCTCTGCCTGTCTTCTGCCTACTTGTGATCTCTCTGTCAAATAAATAAATAAAATCTTAAAAAAAAAAAAAAAGAAAAGAAAGGAGGGGCACCTGGGTGGCTCAGAGGGTTAAGCCACTGCCTTTGGCTCGGGTCATGATCTCAGGGTCCTGGAATCGAGCCCAACTTCGGGCTCTCTACTCAGCAGGGAGCCTGCTTCCCCCTGACTTTCTGCCTACTTGTGATCTCTCTCTCTCTCAAATAAATTAAAAAAAAAAAAAAAAGAAAAGAAAGGAGTGACAGCTTCACCTTCACCTACAGCAGAGATTCCATTATTGAAAGAAAGCTCTAAGCAAAATAAATCAGAGAAAGACAAATACCATATGATTTCACCATACGAAATTTAAGAATCAAAACAGATGAACATAGCAGGTAAATAAAAGGACATAGGCAGAGCCAGACAGGCTCTCGATTATGGAGGAAAAAAACTGTGGGTTGCTGGAGGAGAAATGGGCAAGGAAGGATGGGTTAAATGGGTAATGAGAATTAAGGAGAGCACTTGTGATGAGCACTGGGTATTGTATGTAAGTGATTAATCACTAGACTACATCTGAAACTAATGCTACACTATAGGTTAACTAACTGGAATTTAAATGAAAACTTGAAGAAAAAAAAATACTCCTGAAAGAAAGCTCAAGAAATGGGACAGTTTTTCAGAAAACGTAACTGGCCAAAACTGACTCAAGAAGAAATAGAAAACACAGACATATTTAGGATGATTAGATAATTTGATACAGTACTTAATCTATTCAAAAAGAAACTACCAAGCTCAGACAGTTTTACAAATGAAGTCTACAATACCTTCAAAGAACTTATAAAACATAATATATTCCAGACAGCAGAAAGGGAAAAAAAGGTTAAGATACAAAAAATTTCATAAAGTTAATATAGTGTAGACATTGAAAATGGGACAAAGTTGGAAAATTACAAGACAGGAAAACTATAGGCCACTTTTCCTTATGAGCATAAAAACAGCCTTAAAAAAAATTAGCCAATGCATCCAGCAAGACATTAAACAAAAAACAAAAACAAGGTGTGCCTGGCTGGTTGTCAGAAGAACAAGAGATCTTGATCTCAGTGTTTTAAGTTTGGGTCCCACACTGGGTATAGAGATTATTCAAAAATAAAATCTAGGGGTGCCTGGATGGCTCAGTGGGTTAAAGCCTCTGTCTTCAGCTCAGGTCATCGAGCCCCGCATCGGGCTCTCTGCTCAGCAGGGAGCCTGCTTCCTCCTCTCTGCTTCTCTGCCTACTTGTGATCTCTATCAAATAAATAAATAAAATCTTAAAAAAAAATAAAGCCAAAAAACTTCCATTACTTCCCAATGTCTACTGAATAAAGTCCAAACACCCTACCTTAATACACACTGATGCCTACTTTCTAGCCCCATCATTCACTCTCCTGAGGTTTTCCATATCCCAAGATTCAGTCAAAATGGGTTCCTGTTTGCAAATGCAATTCCTGATACCATCTCCCCACTACATCTATGAGCTCACAAACAACTCCGGGTGTGAATACACACATACTAGAATTTGAAAATTGAGGTTTTAGAAAAGTTAGGTTATATATTACACAATTAAGATACTTGGACTTCATCCAGCACGAAATGGGAAAAACCACTGAAGGTTTTTAAAGCAAGAGAATATCATGATCAGGGCGCCTGGGTGGCTCAGTCATTAGGCATCTGCCTCCAGCTCGGGTCGTGGTCCCAGGGTCCTGGGATCAAGCCCCATATCGGGCTCCCTGCTTGATGGGAAGCCCGCTTCTCCTTCTCCCCCACTCCCTATTCTTGTGTTCGCTCTCTCTTTCTGTGTCTCTCTCTGCCAAATAAATAAAATCTTGAAGAAAAAAAAAGAATATCATGATCAAATCTGCATTTCAGGAATTTAACTCTATCTAGCAATAACAGTATAGAAAATATTAGTAGCAAAAAACAGAGACTATTAAAACAGTACAGGAGATAATGAAGGATAACAAAATAATTAGCAGTGGAAATAAACAAGCAGATCTGAGATTTCTACAGAGAATCCAAAAGATTTCATGAAAAGTGTACTCAAATGTCCACTCCTGACCACTTCAAAACCACAACCTGAATTGTCTTTCAAAATGCAAATCTGGGGGCACCTGAGTGGCTCAGTTGGTTAAGTGTCTGCCTTCAACTCAGGTCATGATCCCAGGGTCCTGGGATCTAGCCTGCTTCAGGTTCTCTGCTCAGCGGAGAGCCTGCTTCTCCCTCTCCCTCTGCCTGCTGCTCCACCTGTTTGTGTCTCTCTGTCAAATAAATAAATAAAAGTTTAAAAAAATACAAATCTGATCATGTTCCCCCCTCTGCTTAAAACCCGTCAGTGCTTCCTACTGACTTTAGATTAAAAAACAAATTTTGTCACAATTTTGCTTACAAAGTCCAGAGTGACCTGGCCCCTGCCCACAATTACAGTTAGTCTGCATCCTTCTTACCCATTTCCCAGCAGTCTTTACCCTTGATCATACGGACGTTCTTTCAGCTCCTTGAACGTGGCATTTGTTCCCTCTCACCACAGGGCCTCTGCAGGGAGTGCTCTTTCCTCAATGCTCCACTGTCACTTAATTCATCTCTCGTATTTTGACTTAAGTAATGTTTGAGCCTTCCCTGGCTACCTCCTCTCACTACTAGGTCGGGCCCTCTCTATTATATTCTTATATCACTGTGTCCTTTCTCTATATGGCCTCTTTTCAATTTAAGATTACATTTTTGTGGAAATTCCTAAAGAAATGTCCATCTCACCCACGGGACTGTAAGCTCCATGAAGACCAGGATTGGCTCTGTCTGTTCATCAGTGTATCCCCAGCTCTCAGCACAGGGCCTTGCAAGTTAGTAGGTAATAAAAAAAGTATCTGTTGAATTACTGCTATTCCTAATCTATTCATGACAACTCTGAAGTTCCTAGCTTTGATAACAAGGTAGTCACACATTTAACTGAGAACCAAAGAAAGCAGGATGAATTATCTGTAGGACATGCAGGTAAAGAGGTCTAACAGGTAACTGAAAACTAGAGTATGCAGCACAAAAGACAAAATGTAATTGGTAAAGGTCAGATTACTCTCTTGAAATCACAAAGGCCAGTGATTCTCCTGGAAGAGGAAGAGGAAGGATTATGTACCAGAATCCCTCGGAAAGAGGGGTTTATTCACATGTGCTCTCACCTTCCCCCAAATGAGGATCTTAATATATAATGCAAGGTACTACTGACAGAGGAAGTGTTGCACCTATGCAAAGTGGAGAGGCAAAATTTTACATGTTGAGAACCATGATGATGAAAGAAAATTGCTGCAAGGTCACTCATAATCATTTTACGAACAATCCTAATGGGTTCAGATGTGAAGACGAAGCATATGAGAGAAGGATTACCTTGTCTTTTCTGACAGGACAATGTTGTAAAAAGACAGTCTAAAGGCAATTTCCCTTAAAAAAGAAAAAAAAAATGAAAGACTGAAATAAGCATCTGTAGAGAAAAGCAGGAAAAAGCCCAGGGAGGAGAGTGTATTTTAAGGTTCATGGGAAAGGCTAAATATAATACAGCAAGATTCCTGAAGAAAATGTAAAGGGAAAACAATAACAAACACTATATAAACTGAACACTATATGCCTGGGCCTTAAATGTTCCAAATACATTGATTTCAATCTTCTCAAAGTCCCATAAAGTACATACTATTCTTTTTTCCCGTTTTATAGATGAGGAAACAAATAACAAGTGATTAAGAAATTTGTTCCAAGGTCAAACAGCTGATAAGTGGCGTATCTGGGATTAGATTCCAGCTCCTTCATTAAAGCCAAATGACAAAATCAGGAATATTCACCAGGGATAAAAGTATAATTTTTTCTTAAAAGGGGGCCACCTCTCATGAAATGGGAAGAAACGCTAGAAGATAATTGGGGTGGGGGTTGGGGAATTCTTGCCCTGGTCTCAGTCCCACTCCAATCAAAGCAGCACTGAGCGAGATGGGGGAGGGGCACTGAGGAAGGGGAAAGGTTTGGAGCTCTAGGTGTGGAGGATGGAAAAGACCAGGGAAGAATCCGGGAAAGACTGGGACAGAATCAGAGTCAACGCCAAGTTGATCCCTGAAGCACAAACCCTGCGCTTCTGCTAATTCTACATTAACATCTGAGTTGGGGCCAACTATGTGTCAGGCGCTGTTGTGGGCGTTGTGGAGATCAAGATAACTTCTCCGGGTATTACGGTCTCGGAAACAACCAACATCAATGATGATCTGACACTAAGGAAAGACACATTCCTCTAGAATCGCATCAGAAAGCTGTAAGGAGTACATTCCAAGACAAGATTGGTTTGAGGGGGAGGGGCGGGAGGAGCAGTCGAAAGGGCAGTTCCTACGTGCTCTCGGCCCAAACACCCCTGGATACTCTCGAGGAACCAAAGAGCGACACGAATGAGCCCAGAAACTGCACCCGAGGGCGGCGGGAACGCAGCTACCTGCGGGCCCCGGACATCAGGCGCGCACCCCTCCCTCGACTCCGCGGCTCCCTTGGACTCCCTGGTTCCCCAGAAACCGCCGGCTTCCGCTCGGGACACTACCACGCCATTCAGTCTCTTCACCAACAGCCCTGAGCGGACCAGACCCCCAAATCAACTTACCCGCCCTGCCTAGCCCAAGAGAGCCGGGGATCCCTTCTGGACACCGAGGTCTCCCAGGCATCTCCACCAATGCCAGAACGCACTCAGGACGCGAAGGCGGGACTGAGCATCCATGGCCAATCAGACCAGACGTAAAGTACGTCCCGGCGCACATAACTAGTTCCCGCCTTTGGGAGGGCGGAAAAAAAAAAACACAGTTGGCGCCAAACTCGCGTAGGCTTGAGCGGACTTTAAGAGAAAGGGGCGGAGCCTAAGCTGGCCGGGGTGGGTGGGCGGAGCTTCACTCCGGGAAGGGGCGGGGCTTTAAAGAAGGTTGGGGCGGAGTCTGGGAGAAGCTCGCTAACGAAAGGGAAAGTAAGCTCTGAGAAGGCTCTGTCTATAAATTCTATTGAATGTCAACCGCGTGCTAGACGTAGTGCTGGACTCTGGCTCCATAATGATAAATAAGCACTGTTCCTTGCCCTCGGACACTTTGCGCATGATAGGCAAACAATTTAGCCTAGGGCATTGGGAATTTCGAAGAGGGGACACCAATACAAGCAGGGTAGGAGGAACAGGAGAGCTTTTTAGAGGGTAGAATCCCCGAATTGTCTTATAGCAGTTGGAGATACTAAAGATGCTCGTAGGGTCTAGCCTCCAGAGGCGGGGTCTATGCCATTATTGGTGGGGAAGTAAAACAGAGATGACTTCCTGGGCTACTGGATCTGGGGATCTTCATCCTGTCGATAACCGTTTCCTCCTGTTTGTGCATTTTAATAACTTGTAACTGACAATATGAACTTCTTACATATTTTTAAAATTTTTTGGAAAGATCCCCATTTGGGAAAGTATGTTCTGGAAGAACACTGGTTTCCTGGATTCTACCCCAACCAGCTTTGTTTCTGAGAAGTTAGCCAAGCATTCCAGGCAGTGGAGACTCAGAAAGAGTAGAGGGTGTGCAACTACCAGGTGTTTTGTTGCGGGAGCGCAAAACGTGAGATGAGGCTGGGAAAAGGGGAAAGCAGGGGTCAGAACTTAAAAGACGTTAGATATGTCAGAGAGCTTGGAATTTACCTTTAAATGATGAGGCATTGGGGAACCACTGAAGGATTTTACTCTTGGTGTGGTCGTGGTCTGATTTGCATTATTAAAGTCCTCTGGCCTTGAGAAGGAGAATTTTGAGATGCTCTAACAGTGATCCAAGCCAGAGAAAATGAGATCTGGAGGAAGTGGTAGGTAACAGAGAGGATAGATTTAAGATATTTAGGAGATAAAATTACAAAACTTGGCAACTGATTGAAGATGGGCTTTCAGCATGGGTGCATAATGATGACACTCATCAAAAAATATTTGTTGGGGCGCCTGGGTGGCTCAGCGGGTTAAAGCCTCTGCCTTCGGCTCAGGTCATGATCTCAGGGTCCTGGGATGGAGCCCCGCATTGGGCTCTCTGCTCAGCAGGGAGCCTGCTTCCTCCTCTCTCTCTGCCTGCCTCTCTGCCTACTTGTGATTCCTCTGTCTCTGTCAAATAAATAAATAAAATCTTAAAAAAAAAAATTTGTTGAGGGGCGCCTGGGTGGCTCAGTGGGTTAAGCCTCTGCCTTCGGGTCAGGTCATGACCTCAGGGTCCTGGGATCGAGCCCCGCATCAGGCTCTCTGCTCAGCAGGGAGCCTGCTCCCCTGCTCTCTCTGCCTGCCTACTTGTAATCTCTCTCTCTGTGTCAAATAAATAAATAAAATCTTTTTAAAAAATATTTGTTGAGAACATAAAATATATATCTCAAAAATAACTGAAGTTTTCCCCAAAGCTTTTCTTCCAGACAAGAATGGCCCTATTACTGAAGTCCTTACAAAGCCTCTCACTTTACTGGTACTTAGTAAAAACTTTACGTTGAATAGAAAGTAGTGATTGGTTTAAAAATATTTGCTTGGAAAGACATCAGTCACTGCTAACTTGGGAATTTGGGATGCTTCTAGAAGTCAAGTGAAGGAATCAGTATTTTTTTTAAAGGAAACAAATATAACACAGTTACATGTTTTATGAAATCTGAAGTCACAATTGCAAATGTTGCTTTAAAAAAAAAAAAATCAATTTCTATGGGAGCCTGACTGGCTCAGTTGGTAGAGCATGCAACTCTGGATCTTGGGTAGTGAATTCAAGCTCACTGTTGGGGATAGAGGCTACTTTCTTTTTCTTATTTATTTTTATTTGTTTTTATTATTAACATATAATGTATTATTTGCTTCAGGGCTACAAGTCTGTGATTCATCAGTCTTTTTAAAATTTTTTTAAAGATATTTTTATTTACTTATTTGACAGATGGAGATCACGAGTAGGCAGAGAAGCAGACAGAGAGAGAGGAAGAAGCAGGCTGAGTCACCCAGGCACCCCTGTGATTCATCAGTCTTACACAATACACAGCACCCACCACAACACATAACCTCTCTAGTGTTCATCACACAGCTACCTCATCCCCCATACCCCTCTCCTCTCCAGCAAGGATAGAGCTTACTTAAAAAACAACAACAGCAACAGAAAAAAAAGCAATTCCTGAAGATGTCTATATGCACTTCCATGGGGGTAATCTGTAAGATATAGTGTTAAGAAAGGAAAAAGTACAGTATGATATGCTGGCTTTTGTGTAAGAAAAAAACGAGGAAAAGAATATATATATATTTGCTTGTTTTTGCATAAGAAACACTTGAAGGGTAAATTAAAACCTAATAAAAGGGTAACTTACTAGGGAAGAACACTGGCTGGAACGGATAGAGAGGAAAGGGAAACTCCTTTGAGTATGCCTTTTTTTAAAAGTCCATTTAAGTATTTCATATGCAAATATACATAGCTTTTCTTCCTTCTTTAACAACTGCTTTATTTTTTTATAAAAGCTATTTTGACATATAATCCACATACCATATATTTCACGTATTTAAAGTACAAAGTTGCCTTTTTATAACCTTTTGCTTTTGCTTCATGGAAGTGTTTCATATATTCAAAGATTGAACCAAATCAGAAAGAAAAATGCTAAAATGAAAAATAAATTGAAATAAACTGTGTAAACAAGAAAAACATAACCACTCAAACTAAATGATTATCTCAAGTGACATTTAAACACAGTGTTCTGACTATACAGTATTAGTAGGATATATTCCAAGCACAAAAAAAACTGCAGAGAATAAAATTTAAAAAAAATTTAATTAATTAATTTAAAAAAACTGCACAGAAATCTTATAATGTATGCACGAGTTTTAATGTTAGTCTTAATATTGTAATTTGGAAACCATTTAATGTATATTGTAAGACAATATGTAATATTTTTAGGAATCAAGATATTTAGTGACAGAGAAAAGAGATCCAAACATAAAATCAAAAAAATTAGGGGGGAGGAGAATGATAAAAAAAAAATTTAGAGGGAAATCTTATACTGTTTTATCTGAATTGGAAATGCCAACATGACCCCATGATCTTTTAAAAATACGTATTTCTTGGGGTGCCTGGGTGGCTCAGTTGGTTAATGTCTGCCTTTGGCTCAGGTCATGATCCCAGGGTCCTGAGATGGAGCCCCACATTAGGCTCCCTGCTCATGGGGAGCCTGCTTCCCCATGGTTGTACTCTTTCTCAAATAAATAAATAAAAGCTTTAGAAAATACATGTATTTTATTTCTTTTCCTTAAAGAAAGGAAAGCTGAAGGCAGAGGCTCTAACCCACTGAGCCACCCAGGCACCCCACTATACTATATTTATTTAAAAAAAAAAAAAAAGTTGGGTTAAGCCGCTGCCTTTGGTTCGGGTCATGATCTCAGGATCCTGGGATCGAGTCCCGCATCAGGCTCTCTGCTCAGTAGGGAGCCTGCTTCCTCCTCTCTCTCTGCCTACCTCTCTGCCTACTTGTGATCTCTCTCTGTCAAATAAATAAATAAAATCCAAAAAAAAAAAAAAAAAGGTGGGGCACCTGAGTTGCTCAGTCATTGGACATCTGCCTTCAGCTCAGGTCATGATCCCAGGGTCCTGGGATCCAGCTCCATATTGTGCTCCCTGCTCAGAGGGGAATCTGCTTCTCCCTCTTCCACTCCCCCTGCTTGTATTCCCTCTATCACTGTATCTCTCTCATCAAATAAATAAATAAAATAATAAATAAAACAAAATAAATAATATCTTTTTAAATAATTAATTTTTTTAAAAAATCCAGATGTACGTGGACTTGCATACTTCAAACCTGTGTTGTTCAAGGGTTGACTATATTCTTATTAGATGGTGAACAACTGCCAACTGATGCATTCAGATCCTTTTTGTAAGAGAGTTTCAAACATGAAATACACAGGAGAGAGATAAAGGTGATTGACACAGCTGAAACCATAAGGACAGGGAGGGACAGAAGAGTGAAGCAATAGAAAGGAACTGAGTTGTAAATTTGACAGTCACTACAAAAATGGGCAACAGACCCAGATGCTTTTTTTTTTTTTTTTTTGGATTCCATTTATTTGTCAGAGAGAGAGAGAGAGAACACAAGACACAAGCAGGAGCAGCAGCAGGCTGAGGGAGAAGCAGGCTCTCTGCTGCTTCCCACGGTGAAGTGGGACTTAATCCCAGGACGCTGGGATCATGCTCTACAGACAAAGACAAATGCTTAACTAACTGAGCCGCCCCGGCATCCAACCAAGATTCTTTTAAGACCATGACAAGACTACTGTTAGTCATTAGCATTCCTTCTGAGGCATGGGGAACAGGGAGCCACTGCTCCTGGATGCCCCGGAAACTCACTGCCAGCTTTCTGGGCTCCTTTTCCTTCCCCACGCATCTTTCACTGCACCTCAGCACTTTTTTCTTCCTTGCAACTTGGAAGAGCCAAACTCTTGGTGTGACACTGTCAAATGTTGATTCTTTTATTTTCTTCAGAATCTCATTTGTTTAATATTATTCTTCACTGTAACAAATACTTATCGAAGACATTATAGGCTAGGCAACATACTAGGTGCTGTGGTTGCTTAAAAAGAATTTAGGGGTGCCTGCCTCATACACACATATTTTTTTCCTACAGGATAGTGGCATGGTGAGTGTAGTTGGATTCATAGCATCTGTTTGTATGAAGTGG